ATGTGAACTGTAAAGTGCTCAACCAAATACAAAATGTTAAATATATGCTGTCTAGGTCTGAGATTATGTTTGTATTCTGAAGCAGATTACCTGAGTCCCAATCCTGGTTTTGTCCCTTTAGACCTATGTGACACAGGGCAACCTAAACTATCAGTGTCTCGGTTTTCTTATCTGTAAAATAGTAACACCTACCATGTAGTGTTGATGTGAAGATCAAAGGACTTAATATATGTCATGGGCTTAGAGTATACCTCACAGGGAGTAAGTACAATATGCATACTAGCTGTTGTGTTATATGTACCTGTCAGTACAAAACTGAGTGTTGACATAGTAAATGGGAGCAAATGACTTGGAAATTTAAAAAATCCTATGTTTATGCCTCAAGTAATACAGCTCCTTGTTTACCTAACAAACTCATATTTGATTATGAGCCATTAGTGACAGTTAATAAATGGAACTGTGTTGAATTCAGTAGTTATGTATGAACATCTCTCGGAAGCTTACTTCTCTTGATATTTGAATAAGGAAACTGTTCTCATTAATGCTGACTTACTCAGGTAAGGTTTATAGAGTATTGGTTTTGATCATCATGTTTGTAACTGTAAATGAAAGGTTTTCGACCCTCACTAAACATTATAAATAAGTGGGTCCCCCAGATCAGTTAATTGGAAAATTTGGGGGTATATTCAGGCATTATTTTAATGTACAGAGTTGAAAAACACTGGTTTAGAGCATTAGTAATTAAATATATATCCATATAATTTAGTTTCTGGCATTGATATGCAATTTTTTCATATTTAAGTAAATAAAATGACATGGTTATTTATGGATATTTGTCTAAAAGCAGACCTATTGTTTCTGTTGATTCTGTAGTTTATGGGTATGTGCTATAAAGCAGAAATGAACAATTTATTTGTTTTTATTAAATTATTCATGAGTATTTTGTTTTTGGCTTGATGAAGTGCTTTTACAAAGAATACAGAATCACAGTGTATTAAAGGTGAGAGAGACCCTCAAGCCATTTAGTAGAAAGAGAGTATACTCTGGAGCTGAAACTGGCTTGCAGTGACTTACTCACTTACTAGCTGTGTGATCTTGGGGTGCTACTTAACCAGTCTAACCAGGCTGAACCTCGACTTCTTTATCCCTGTAAAATTGAGATGAACACGTCCTTGATACGACGACAACTTGGTTTCACACTGAGCACACACAGACACCCTGACTCCCTGCCTCCTGCCTGATCCCCGCACCATCTGGTGCAGATACCCAGAGCAGGGACTGTGTGGGAGCCTTTGCAGGGCTGTCTGACTCGCAGGGACAGCTGCTGGGAACTGCTGCCTCCCACTCCTCAAGGATCATTTCTTGGTATCCGTTGGGACTGTTCTGTGGCTGGCTGTGTGGATGATCCCATGACCTTTCATGAGCATCTAACATTTAGTCTGTGCGGTCAACCACTGGCCAAGTAGAGTAAAGCTGCTAATGAGATGGGAGATGAAAGTGGCTTCTTGTTGCCACATGGTGGAAGCTCTTCAGTACTGTCTATCTGAGCCCCAGACCCTGTGTGTGCAGGACACGGACGGCTGCTTTCTCTTTCTGGCTGTGTTCTTTCCTTTGCTACTTTGTGTTGAGTAGGGACAATAGGAAGCCACTATCTGTATCTTAGTTTGGGGGAAGCAGAGGAAAATCACAGACCTCTGTGCTTGTCTTTCTGTGATAGGAACAGTGGATTTTTGTCTTCTCCACTACTGTCTCTCAGATCCACTGGCATGTGGCTATAAAATTATTAGGCAACCTGGTTCTCTGGTTGCACATTCTTTGTGTCCTAGGAAGAAGGGTGACGGGTTGTTTTTTTTCCTTGTAAAGCATCATGCCTGGGGGGCCTGATCTGAGCTGTGGGGCTTCCATGTTCTCTCCACTTGTAAGCCTGCTTTAGGTTTATCCTCAATCTTCATTTTGAGAATTTATGTTTTGTTCACCATCTCTCTGGAGTGATGTGAAGGTTTTGTTGGAAATATTTATACATTTGTCTGCCATTTTCCTATTGTTTCCTCTGTCCACTGGAATTAATACCATTTTCTCATTATGAGTGGTAGCACCACTGATTTTTCAGGTGATGAGGACCTTGAAACATTATATGTACTAGGTAGTTCTAACCTAAACCTTGTGCTCCTCCACTAGATTGTGAGATTCTTGAGGGCCGCAGCTATGTTTTTCAGCTGAGCATAGTCATAGCTATCACTTATTAGGTACCTGCTATGCACCAGAGACTTTGCTTAATTACGTCAATTGACTCCTATGAAAACAATATATATATAAGGAATCTTATTTAAGAGAACTTAAGTGAACTGCCCAAGGTCATCTAGGTAGTGAGTCACAGAGCTGGATTTTGAACTCAGTTTGATCTTAAATCTTTTCTAAATTAAACTTCTTCCTAAAAGAAAGGACAGATACAGATAAGAGGAATGGGATTTTGGCTTGTAGAAGGCTGGATGGAACTGTTGAGTAGGGGACAGGTATGGAGTTGCATTCTTGAAGAAGAGGAGAGAAGATCTGCCAAAGAGAAAAAGGCCTTTGTTTTTCCACTGATCCACACTGACTCGCGTTGGCACTGACTGAATGGCCCCCATGATCCTCAAGACAGAAGTCTCCCCTGTGGAATGTTTTGGTCCACATGTGGGTCTTCATTTCATGCTTTTTTATTCAGGCCAGAGAGATCCTGAGATTATGTGAAGATGTCTTTCCCGGAAAAAGCCGCTAATTGAGCAATCAGGCAAACTCTGCGTAGGATCCAAGTGAATCCTCGGTGATAAGACATTCGGGAAGTCAGGGCTGCATTGAAGTCAGCCTTGGCTGGCTGAAGATCAGGAGATACTCTGTGGTGAGCCTCTATGCTTGTAGTTTAGACCAGCAGAATGTGCCCACCACCTTTGACAAGTAACAGGAAGTACATAAATGCTTTACCAAGTTGAAGTTTGTTGAATGTGTGCAGAGAACATTTTCATTTTAATGTTTTTGGAAACTATAAATTTAACTCCTACTGGGGAATAAATGTAATTGCTTCACAAAAGAAAAAAGTCAGCTCTTTAAAACTCTTAACTCCTTTCACAAACACATGCATTTTAATGACTGGGAAATTCCTGGTACAGGAAAAAAATGTCCTTTTGTACAAATGAGGTCATTCTGGTCTAACTGGCCCTGTACACTCTAGTTCCTGCTTTCTGTTCCATGTTTTGTGACCAGAGGTTTTTGGAAGGATAATCCCACTGTGGATATTCACTGCTTTTAGGGCATGTTGCCAAAGAGAAAGTTATCTTAGCTCAGAAACTGCCAAGCCAGTGCAAGAGGCCCAGATCCCGAGGGTACTGAGCCAGTGACTGATAATGACTTGGCTTCGGTTGGCTGTGGGTTGGATTGTTATAGCACTTTTAATGTGCACAAAGTTTGCTGTGTCTACTTCATCATCTTTGGATTTCTCAACAGCTCTGTTGCTTCTTGGTTCAGTATTGATTTTTCTTTCCTAGGCACATTCTGTTTACTCTGCTTTGCTTCTATCACAATGATTAGAATTATCTGTGCCAGTTTGTGGCCTCATGTTCATCTTTTTAACGTGGTATAAATGAGAAACAGCTGTTGAAAGAAGTTGCCTTGTACCTCTTTCTTTGAACACTTGGAGGCTGATTCCTCCTAAAATTAATTTCTGATTTGACTTGGCTAAAGTGAAGACTGTGTCTTAGGCTTTAGATGTGCTCAGTCAGGGGTTTCTCCTAAATGGGAGTGTGGAATAGAATTCAGTGGATGCCCTTGATTTAATGAAGCTCATTTTCCTCTAGTTTTAAAATAACCATTTCCTACTAAGGAGATTGTTGAGAGTATGAAGAGTGTTAGGCAAGGAGATACGTACATCCATCTAGATGTTTTCCTAAAGAGGGGAACGAGGAAGGGGTTTAAGTGAATCCTGACCACAACCTTTGTAGTCTCCTTTAAATTATATATTTTAAAGACAGACACTTTGAAGGATTGGGAATGGGAAGTAAACTGATATTCATTAACTGCTTCTTAGGTGCCAGCATTGTACTAGATCCTCTTGCAGATTCTCTTTTGAGGCTTACCTAAGTTTGTGTGGTTAGTTTGGTGGCAGCCCATGAGATCACCAAAGTACCGTGCCGCCTCACATCGTAAGGGTCTGTGTTAGAGTTATACTGCCCTAAAATTCATCCATGGCTGTAGTGGATCAATCTTTTGATAAACCTTTGGTGCCTTTTTTTCTGCTTGATTGACTGGAAGATTTTATTATTTTTCTCTCTTGCCCCTGAGAATTTGATTTTTATCACAATTTGTTAATTTGTTAACAGTCTATGTTCTGGGATCTTTGTGTCACTTTCACTGTGCTCCCTTGATCTGAAACTCCAAGTTTAGGCTATGTTGCCCAAATAAATCTAAGAGTAATTTCTTGATCTTGGATTAAGAAGTTTTATCTTCAGCTGTCAAGGAGAGGAGAGTATGATAAGAACTGGTCATGGGCTGCTTGGGTATTTGCTGCAGACTCCGTTTCTTGCCCAGAGCATTTGCAGCTCCTCTAGAAGGCTCCAGAACCCTTGCTTGAAGTCTCTTGGGTCTTTGAGAAAGTCAGGTTTGACCTGGTCTTGACCCATGTTTCTGCAGGCACCATCTCTCCACTGCCCCTAAGACCTTGGTGTATTGTAGGCAGTTAATGAGTGTTTTATTGAACTTAATAGCCTGTACAAAAGAATTTTAAGAAAATATGGCTAGGAAATGCTTTCATACTTGAAATTGGGAAATTCTGGTTAATTGCTGAGTGCCTCATTTTAGTTCCTGTGGGGAAAATACATGGTAAAATGTATAATGGGTTAACATTGTAAAGCAAAACCTCTTGTGAGATAAATCAGAAACTACATATCTGTCTATGATGCTCAGAATGGGACAGAATGGGAAAGGCACTGATTTGCTGATAATGTATTTTTATTATTATTATTCTGTAGCCTCAGACGATACAGCAAACTCTCAAGAGGACATTGCAGTATTATGAGCATCAAGTTATTGGGTAAGTTAAAATGGATTTTGGTTATTATTCGGGGTAAATTAAAGGTTATTATTCAAACATAGCTGTTGAGTCTGTGGTTTTCTGCCAGCCCAGTCAGCCTTAGTTCCTGGTGCCCGTGCTCTCAGTGTGGAGTAGGGGCTTATGGAGCCCCTTGGAGTGATTTCCTTTGGCTTATTTGTGCTTATTTCTTTTAAAATTTAATTCCCTTTTGGTGTTGTTTTTCTTTTTTCTTCTTCTTCTTTTTATGTTCTTACCCTCTTGTTCTCATTCATTGAGTCTCATACTTATGCCTTAGTAATATGGTAAGGTTTAATGGTACCAAGTGAGAAGCTTTAAATAGGATTTTAGAATCCTTCAGTAAAATTTAATCAAAATCATTACAAGCTTTTACAGTTCAATAGTGTCACAAGCTGCTATTTTTCTTTTTTACCTGCACTTGACATTGTTGTCCTATGGTATGAGGAAGAAAACCAAGTCAAAAAATAGGAATTCAAGGCCTCACTAGCCCTTAGAATTTTTGTTTTATTAAGGTATCATTGATATACACTCTCTCATGCCACCATCTTGAATCCTCAGCCTATAGAATTTTTAAATAACTTTATATCTTTTGTAAAGGGTGATGATGGTGATAATAACTAAATCAAGGATTAGATGTCATGATTAAATAAGATAATTTCAATGGAAGTCTTTTGTAAGCAAAAAGCTCCAAATACGGGTAAAGTATACTTTGGATTGGTTATGGCAGAAAGCAGTTGCCAAATAGAAAACCTAAATTCATTTTCTGATGCAATCTAGCTATTTAAATTGAATTCACTGATGTTAGATGCAATGCATATTTTAAATTCACATTATTAAGATTCTCTGTTAAAATGTTCTCCAGTGATTTATCTTTGTAAGATTTTAAGAACTTTTGAGGAATCAAGATTCAAACTGCAGTATGTCTTGAAACACTATCAAGAATCATTTAGCACTTACGGCTAATAATAATTGCCATGTGGGTCAAGGATATAATTTTGGCTATTAAGATGTAGTATGATTTTTTCTGTTCTTTTTCTTTTTACAAAACAGGAGGGAAGAAAACCTGGTAGAAAATAATCTCAGTACCTAGTACAATGCCATATACTTTAAGAGCTTGATGATTATGTTAATTGTCATTTCAAAGGGAATTGCTTTGAAACTTTGTCGTATCAATCCTCAAGAGTGCAGTACTAGGAAAAACATTATTTAAACTCATGAGATGGCTTTTAGTTTGAGGCCATTAGTGATTTTAAATGGTTTATCCTAACAGAGATAAAGAATGTCAAATTAATCTCTCCCCATATATTCTAAAATAAAACTTAATCACTTCTATTGGATTTGCTGCTTTCAGAGTAGGGTGTTTGGATTAAATTAGTCAATATATTTAGAACAGTTCCTGGTATGTGGTGAACAGTATATACTTGTTTGCTGTTATATTTGTTATCATTATCATTATTATTATTATTATTTTTATGACAAGTCCAGTAACCGAATGCAAGTCATTTCCTAGAATTATGATGGCCTCTCAGTTTTGAAATCAAATAATAACTGATGAAATAGCCTCATTTTTGAATTAAACTTTGTCTTCATGGCAAATTGGAATGGAAATCTTATAACTATGATCAAAATAGAAAACAAAACTCTATTACCAGAATCAGCAGAAAATTATTTTTCTCGTTACTAAGATGGAGTTCTCTGTTATCTAAATTACTGCTTCAACCCTCCTCTCTCCATCTGTGTGGACAGAGCCTGTGGTCATTCTTTGTTCATTGCCTAAATGGTCTTTACTAGTTCTATTTATTGCAGATATGATATAAAGAAAACAGGCAGGGAATGCGACTCTGATATAAAGACTTGTCTCAGTGTCTGACTACGTCCCCACAGGCTTATCAGCACGTTGTCCCTCTCATGTTGGCTGACCCATGAGGGCCTGACATGCCTTTGCTCAGTCCCTGTATTTGTACTCATGCTGACAAAGACTAGAAGGGTGAGTTGGCAGCAATACTGTCATATTTGCCTCTCGTGACTGTCTTTTCTTTTCCTGCAGTCATGGTTTTCCTGTCCAACTCCCTCTTTTGCCTTTTAGACTCCATTTTCCTGCTATTTCTTTTTTCAGTACTGAAAAGGGAGAACATCTATGATCACTAACACTTGGATTAAAATGTATTCACAGCTCTGTGTTGTTCCTCCTAGGAAAACACATTTAAAGGCTTTTTATCTCTAACTGTGAAAGGGAATATCTTTCTCCGGGTTAAAGGGATTCCAGGCAGTTGAGAATTAAGTGCTGGCCAGTATCATTTTACGTCAGACTCACCCATATTTCTAGGCAGGTGATGGTGGGAAAGAAATGCTTTCCTAACCTCTGAAATTGGGCTTTGCTGAAGACTTGTGTTGATGTAATTCAGTTGTTAGGTCCCCTGGGTTGGGATGATGAATTAGAATGGTTAACAGGGAGTATGAGCTAGCCCTTCTCTTTTTAATTTCTTAATTTGTCTCTAACCACTAACTTTCTCATCCTGCCTTTCCTCTTCTTTGAAACTCTGCCCTGGGTCTGAGTATTTATCAGAGCTCCAGGTCTATGTGGTTCCATTCCTCAATGAATTCTTATACCAGTAGCCCACAGAAACTCTCTGAGGCTTTTTTAATCTGCAAGACCTAGACTTGAATGCAGGGAGCAGCTGTTCAAAGGATAACATAGATGGAAAATGGGGAGGGAGTAGCTGACAGAGCCTCTTATTAGGGAGTAAGATAGTCTCCTGTACCTCAGCAACTTCATCTTTAAACATTTATTCTACTCCTCAATGTATCCATTCATTTGTTCATTTATTTATTCATGGAGATCATTCAAGTTGGGAAAATGAATGCTAAAATAATTTATTCATGCCGCATGATAAATCTTCTCTTCATATCCACTGTCACCATGGTTTCTTACCTAGAAATTCCTATCTAGTTTTCTGGCTTCTATTCCTGTCCCTCGATGTTATATTTTCATCACAGCAAAGTGATTTAAAAAAATGGATCATGCCACTTTCTTACTTTAAACCAACGGTCCTCAAATGGTGATGTGTGTCAGACTCACCCAGCAGACCTTGTTAAAACACAGTTCCTGGGTACCACCCCCAGAGTCTCTGATCAGGTATGTCCAGGTGGGGCTTAGGAATCAGCATTTTAACAAGTTCCCAGATAATGCTGATCCAGGGATCAAGTCCTTTTGATGAAATCCCTCGTTGAAACCATATAATGACCCATTGTAGAATCTGAACTCTTCCTGTGATCTGGCCTTTGCTCATCTCTGCTTTCAGCCTCTTCCACACCCACCACACCAGCCACACCAGCCACATGTTGGTTTCTCAGCTATATCAAACTGCTTAGCCTTGAGGCCTTTGCACATACTGTTCCATTTTCCTGGAATGCTCTGTCAGCAGATGTTTGCATGGATTATGCTTTTTGTCCACTTGGGTTTCTGTTTAAATGCCATTTCTTTAGAAAGGCTTGACCACCCAATCTAAAGTAGGTCTCCATCCCCTACCTCAATCTGCATTCCCAATCATTTTTTTATTACTCTCTATTGTTTCTTTTCATAGTGCTCATCAATGTTTATTATATTAACTTGTTTATTTTCTTATTTGGTTATTATCTTGTTTACTTCTATATTCCTGTGCCTTTGTAGGTGCTTGGTATGTAGAAAGGACTAACATTTTTGATGAGAGGAGTATGAATAAATGAAAAAATTACACCCCAGAGGTATGTGCACAGAGGTATGTGTAGAGTGGATAAAAGAGTCAACTACACTTGGGAGGAGGTATAAAAGGCAGGGCTGAAATAATCTTCAGGGTTCATTGAAGTTCTACAATTTATAGTTCTAGTGTCCAGGACCCTTTATAATTTATAACACAAATTATATAATTTATAATTATATATGTTATATATGCTTATATATTATGTAGATTTAATTACATATAGCTTCTTGCTCTTTAATTAATATAATTAATAATAATGAGGTATCAAGTCATATAATCATGTAAAATAGTACAGTGCCTGCTACACAAAGGCAATCAATATGTTTATTGAATTATTATTGCTACTATTAGTATCTCACTCTTTCAAACCACAATTTTTGTTGATTGTCTTTTTATTTATCCTCCCACTGTATCCTTTCCTTGCCCTCCTTGATTCTTAAAATGTTTGGAAGTAGTTGGTTAACATCAGGAGTGTAACATATCCAGTTTATGTTCCTGCTGCAGCTTTCTTCTTACAGAGAGTTTGGATTTTCTAAAATCTAAATTTCTGCATTTAGAGTGTCTAAATCAACTGTTCTCATGTTTATACTACATGAGTCCTTCTGGTCTGTAGCTTACAAAAATGGGTCACTATGATAGTGCAAAGCAGGAATTTCTTTAAAGCTGATTGGAAAACATGATAATCTTTTTGAGATGTGGTGTTCATTCATTATATATTTTAAACATTAAAGTATAAAAAATATGTATTCAGAATCATTTCTACTTTTTTCCAGAATAAGCATCATTAGGCTAATTTCACGGATAGGACTGCTGCCAACCTTGTATTAGTCTGGGACACTACTTCCTATAGTCATCTAAAATTAAATTCTATTCCTATTGTTGCTGTGGGCCCTATGTTTGTTTTATATAGCCAACCTTCTGTTCTCTTTTTCTATTGACAACTGAGTAGGGATTAAGGTAGAATAATTTCCACAGAACATTAGAAGTGAAGTTAGGAGTGGGTGAACCCTGATTATTCTGGGAAACAAGCTTCAATGATACTACTTATGCCATCAGGGTCAGATTTTATGGCTCTGTTTTATTTAAAAAGTGATCTAGCTTTTTCATATATTTCTATAGAATATTTGTGTTACTGAATAAAAACAATAAGTTAGACAAAAGCTAATACCTATTGATTGCTCACTGTTTCAAGGCAAGATGCTGGGCATTTTACATTGGTTATTTTATTTAATCCTAACCATCTAATTCATGGGGTCATTGTATTAAGTTCTTTTTTTGGTTGAGGAAATTGAAGCTGTGAGAAAAAATATTTTGTCCAGGGACACTGATGAAAATGGTGGGGCTTGATTTAAATATAACCCTGTTATTTGTCTGTGTTTAACAAGTGTGCTCCATTCCACTTCTTACTGAATGATTCCTGCCTTCTAAAAACTGTACTAAGCATTTTGCTTAATGGGTTTATAGGAGTCTGATCTCAGTGAGGTGTCCGAACATGTAACCATTTATTTTTTCTCTCCAGTCACTTCAGAGATACTCAGATGAATCTCCTCTGATACTAACTTGGGCATTTTACTCTTTTCCAAATACTCTGAGGGAGCAAAAAGTCCACTCCAGACCAATTCAAATCTTTGAATTTGCATCCAGTCTCACTCTGTGCCTGGGTCAAGCCTTGGCCTGAGGAACTTGGAATGCAGTGGAAGGGGGTTACTGTGTGATTTTTCATTCCTCTTCTACAGACCACTCCTTTCCTGATCCCTTACTCTTCAGATATGCTGTATCAGGCAGGAAAAGATTGGAAAATGGTGGTTGCCTTCTAAAATTCCCTGGTGGTTGTGGTGGTCCTCTCTTGGCTGTGATGTCTTAAGTGAGGCGCATCTACGCATCTACGGGCTCTGTCTTGACTGCTCACTGCTGGCCCGGAGGACTGCACTCCACGGGCTTGCTAGTGGGATCTTGGACCCTGGCAGGCGACCTCTAGACTGGGAAGCAGGAGGACAGGACAACCCAAGCTTGCCTCTCTTTAGTGGCATCTCCCTAATCCATGGGAAACTCATAACTTTTGCCTGCCATATGGTGGGAGTGTAGGCTCTGTTCTTTACCCTGTTAATAACTCTCTCTAGAACCTTCTTCTTGTACTCAAACCAGGCACAGAGGGATCATCGGGAATTCCACCACCTCAGCGGATGTCTACCAAGGAATGAAATACCCAAGCTCCAGTCTCTGTCTGGGCGCCCCCCTGTCTCACCAACTGGGCTTCTGTGGGAGGGGAAAGGGAACAGTACTCCCTTCCAAGGCCAGTTACTCACTTCAAGGGTTCCCTTTTGAATTGTTTTCTATCCCTTTGCTTTTGAAAGCTGGTGGCAGGGTGACAGTGGCAGTGACTATTTAGTCATTTCTCAAATCTGGGAGGAGATTGCTAATCTTCTTGGCTACTCTTCTAGAATATGGGAGGATTTGGCCCATATTGTCTTCAGCTTTGGTGCCTAAGCTCTAATTCAGAGGCAACTGGAACAGTTCCACTCAGCATCTGATTACATGGGCATTTTGTCATTCTGTCCTCACAAGAACTCTAGGAGGTCTCTCTGTGTTATTAGGGAGACAATTTAGGTTAATAGGAATTAGGTTACTTGCACAGAGCCTCAAAGATAGAAAATGGTAAGACCATGATTCAGTTCTGTCAGGCTACAAATGCTTTATATGGTAACTTGTCACCATGCACGTTCCTGCTTTCTTCTCGACTGTGATAGAAGTTAAGATGGGTTTGCTTTCAACACAGTAACGTACCAGTTCTGTACTGTTAATTGTTCTTTTTCTAGGCAACTTCCTTATAGAAAGAGAATGCCAGCAGTTACAAAGCACTCAGATAAGGAAACATTAGCTACAGAAACTGATACATTTTCTGGTTCCCTCATTTCTTTCTTTCACACGTACTTTTCTTATTAATGATTACCTCCAGTTCCAGGTCCACACTGTTCATGCTGATGGTAATGGTGAGTTTTGTCAGAAATTATGTCTTAAAACTTCAGTTATTTTAAAAATGTTATTATACCCAGAGCACAGGCTACGTGTACTTGTGTGTATGTATATGAGTGCATACGCAGATGCTTTTAAAAATGTCTCCATGTGCTAATTTTGTTTTCTTCTTAGTTATAGGGATGCAGAAAAGAATTTCCACAATATTTCTAACAGATGCTCCTATGCTGACCACACCAACAAAGAGGAAATTGAAGATGTCTCAGGAATTCTTCAGTGTACTGCTAATATACTCGGTATATATAACTATATCTTTATGTATGGGTGAGAAAGAGTGAATGAGGGGAAAAGGGGAAAGTAAAGGTACAAACATATCATTTTCTACTAAAGAGGGGTTTGTAGACTATGGCAAATTGAGACCAAGACCTTGTCTCCAAGTGATTTAATTTCAACCCTTCTGAAGATGTTTAAGTAGAAATTACATGCATTCCATTTACTTGGAGATTGAAAACCATAATAAAAATACTTATGTTCCAGGGAAACTTTTATAAGTATTTCTAGGTCAACATTATTAGCCTCCTGTAACCTGTCTTTCTCTGATTCTTACCCTGGGCTAAATAGGGGACCTTCCTCTCTTCTCAAAGCCCATACTCATTTTCATTTCTATGATTATTATTCTGTTATTTCTGGGGAGACGTGGTTGGGGCTGCAGGATGGTTCACCATGTACCATGATGGACTCTACTACAACTCAGAGGCAGTGAGGCAGGTCATCTGCTAAAGTTTTTGTGTACTGCAGGGGTATATGTGTGTGTCCACCTTGAAAGTACTGGTCTTTGTGACAGAGGGGCTGTTTTTGGATGCCTGCTACATGGCTAAGGAGCACTGTTGTAACTGCACTGAATCATGAAGATTTAAGACACCATAACTGAGCTGTACTATCTTATTCTCAGATATTTTTGGTGTGGGAGAGTACTACTTTTTATTATATGCAAAGTAGGTATCATAGCAGGAATGTTTTCTGTTCTAATGTCTTAGGGAGGTTTCTAGTGAAAATATCTCTCCCAATTTTTTTTTGAATCCTCCTTTTTTCTTATGACTCAGATGGGAACCCATGGAGTGTTGGGAGTGATGGTGGGAGTGGGGAGCAATGGATCTTAGTGATCGACTCCATATAGAACTCAGAAACCCTCTCCCTCAGAATCCCTCATCCCCCAGATGAGGAAGACTGAGACAGGCCTCTTTGCTTGGCTTTCTTTCCCTTCAGGGTAAATACTTTCCTGAGAGATATTCTCATCCCTTCTGTGACTCTAGGTGACCTCAGCCCATGAGTCTACTAGTTTTTCTAAATATACCTGACTCCCAGAAGTACACTTGGCTTGTACACTGAAGCTGGGATTCCAAGTACCCATCGACTACATTTTCATCCTAGGTAACTTTTGTAAACACCAAGTATTGTAACTTTTGTCAGGGGAGGCATATAGATGTTAGTGATTTTTCTAAAATAGCATGCAGGTCAGTGATGGGCAGTGAAATGGAAAGCCAAAAGTTTATGTACCTCAATCTTAGTACAACTGTGGGGATGTCAAACAAACCAGCCTTATTTTGGAGAAGATGAGGGATGAAAATAAAGTGGGGATGGAGTTGGACATTACCTAAGAGCTGTTTATAGTTCTCTGGTTCTTTATTTTCAAGGACTCTCCATCAGTAACATTTACTTCTCTTTACCCATTGTGATTTTCAAGGGGTGCAGTGACGTGATGCCCTACTAAGAGGAATGTATCTGATTCTCAACCGAGAGATATTTAATGTTTTGAAAAATTGCTATTGTCCAGTTTCTGAATGTTTCCCTCACTTCTATTTCCTTGTCCTCCCCATCTTGGGAATCACCGAGTTAGAGAGAGTAGGAGGTGTTCAAGATAATGTATAAGGGGTGCTAAAGGCATCTGAACTGTGACTTGCCAGTGAATGTGCACGATTTCCGCAAAGAAATTCTAGGTCAGACAGTTTGACCTGGTGACCGCCAGGTGATGCTGTTGGCCAAGCACAGCTTAGTTGCCCTTTAAAAGTTTCCATGAGATGCCAATGAATTAGCGAATGGAAAGGGCAGCAGACAGTGTGCTACCTGATGATACTAGGAAATATGAAGTTTTAAGTCAGATGCTTATAATTTAGAAGGCGACTGTATAAACGGCTTGGGTTTCATAAATATTAAATTTTTTAGAAGACAGATATGAGGTCTGATTTTTTCCCTCTAAATTATGGGTTATTCTTAAAAAATGTAAAATTTTACAATCTTGTAAAATTTAAATTTCCGAAGAATAAAACTAAATGCTTGCCATTTGTTCACTACTAGATACTGGCACAGATCCAGCAAGTGATTATGTGCCCAAGAGGTAGCTGTTCTCTTTTGAAGCCCAAGAGGTAGCTATTCTCTTTTGAATAATGTCTTTTTATAATTCTTGAAGTATAGACTCTCTGAGGACAAAGATAATAGCTTGACAGGTCATATTCAATGGAAGCTTTGTTTGTAACAAGTCACGGAACTATGATTAATCTTGACTTGCTTAGAGTTCATTAAAAAAAATTACATTTAAATTCTTCCATAAAATCATTTATGAGAATGCAGGAATTCATTAATTCACTCAACAGAAAAACACCATACAAGAAAAGAAGCCATTTTTTGAGTGAGAAAGCCTGGCATGGATAAATAGAGTTCTCTCTAGGTTAAGAAAAATTTTAATTCCTGGAAACCTTCTCTGTGGATGCCAGGGGCAATTTTCTAATGGTATGATTTATATTTATCACCTTTGGGGAGTGTGGTTAAAATATTGGTGGACTGCGATTGGGGAATACATATTTCTCTCACCTTCTTAACCTGTTACAGTGTTGTGGTAGAGACTACAAATGTGTTTGTTCACTCATCTGAATTATGATATTTATGCCTCACCTATCATCAAAAAAAGACTTAAAGTCCTAGGTCAGAAAATACGACCAGAGAGCCAATTTTTCTTGTTTCAAAATGACCATCTCTATTGACTTAGTGTATACTCCTCTAGAAAGCTTGATTTAAATAATTTGATCTGGTTCTACAGGTTGAAGTTTGGATTTGTTGGGTGGTGTGAAATAAACAGGGCCTGCAGAGAGGGAGAAAGCCTGTTGCAGATCAGTTATCCTCAGTTGGGCTTTTGTCCTGTGACTCCCTAGAGACACATGCTCACTGCCGAGTGGTTCATGCCCCTATAGTAATGGGAAAGAACTATTTCAAGATATCAACATTTTTGCCATTTATTTCTTTTCTGTGGGTTAGAAACTGGTTGTTGCTATTTTTTGTCTCATTATTTACAAATTAAGGATATTAAGCACAGGATGCTCCTTATCATCTATTAGCCCTGTTTTGGTGCTCTGGCAGTCCCTGCAATAATACATTACTGTGCTTCGAAGATGCTTTTAAACTCTGGAAAAGACTGTACAAAGAAACGTAGCTGTGAACCATGCCCTCCCTGCTGGAGGGTGTTAGTGTTAAATTCACTCCTTTATTTGGAACATGTCTTTTGCATACCAAAATGATCTTCTAATTTTAGTAGTCTGAAAAATGTAAACCTTTTCCAGCCATAATCTGCAAAGCCCAGTTTTAGCTCCACTTTAGTAGTAAAAATGTGTGTTTATACTCTTATGAGGTACAACATTAGTATTGTCTTGGAAATTATAATGGTTGAATGGTACGATGAAACATCTATGGTAAGCATTAAAGGATTTATGCTGTGTTTGTTTCTGAAGTGTTGCCACCTTGATCCTATAACAAATTTAGGGGATGTTGGGGAGACAGGGACAGATAATTAGTAGGGACAGTTAGGAGAAAAGGATGAGAAATTACATAATTCCTTTGCCATAATACAATTTAGAATAAATGAAGGTTATGAGTATTTCAGTTGTAACAAGTTTTCATACTGTGAAAGGGGTTCTGACTATTCCAGTTCTAAAGCGTCAAGTCATATGATAGAGGAGATGGTGTAGGAAAAAGTCATCCCACGGTAGGATAAAAGTCACATAGAAAAGAGAACTCTGAGGAATCCATTTACTGATTAATTATAGCAAACTAAGGTTTGCTGTTTAAATAAGCACCAGTTATTTATTATATATTAACAAAGTATAGTTTTGTACTTCTTCTGTTAAGTGCATTCTCTCTGAAAATAATTGGAAAGGACATGAGCTATGTAAGAATATTCATTAAAGTTTTGTTTGTTTTGAAGGTCTATTAGAGCGGGGCTTTATTGTCTCCAAAAAAACATAGTGCATTTAAAAATCAGAATCAGAGTAAAGTTGTCCTGGGATTATTTGTTGGAAAAGTACTGATGAGGAGGACAGAGGAGATGGCATTTGGGGCTTAAACCTCATGATATTTTCCTGGTATCAGGGACACTATAATACTGTGAAACCGGGCCTCTCTGTAAAGTGCCACAGGTTCTAGAATCATCAGCTGGTATCGAGCTTTTTGTTGTTGTTTGTGTTTTAGAGGCAATAATTTGTTGTTTATATGTTAACTTGTTTGCATTTTTTGATTTCGTTGTGATTTGGAATTTAGCCTTTAGCAGCTTTTTAGTTGGTCATAAAATTATTAAAGAATTAGTTAGCCTTGCTTAGGGTCAGGATTACCGTAGGGATTTTCTTGTAATAACTCTTAATCATTTAATTGTTTAGTGAATTGAAATATATTTTACAAATTTGCATCTTGGAAGACAAGTTAGTACAATATCATTTATCCTTTTTATTCATGAATTGAGATTGATAGCAATAAATAAATTCGGCTAATGTGGTTCTTGTCCCTGTAACATGGTAACTGAACAATTTTGTCTTTCATTAAAAAGGTAGTGTCAGTATTTTAATGAGTTGAATTGGAATTAAGGTGGTTTGAGGGTAACTGATTTATAATCATGTTATGTAGTATTTAGAGCAAAATGAGCCAGACTACTTGGACTGAACAAGCAGCTCAGCTGCTTCCTGGCTATATAAACTGGAATAAGTTATTTCATCTTTCCATACTTCATATTTCTCAATTTTAAAATGGGGATAGTATAATTACATACCTCCTAGAGTTGCTAGAAAGATCAAATTCATTAATTTATACAAAATACTTAAAGCAGCCTGGTATATAACAAATGGTACATGAGTGTTTGTGTATATTATTGAATATTCATAACAATGTTTGCATCAGACTTGGGAGGTCAATATTGTTTTCTTTTGTAGGTGAGGAAACTGATACTTTGAGATACTAACTTATGTTCCTTTATTAGTGA